AGGAAGACCCTGGGGTAGACCTAGAACTCCCTGGAGGGATTGCATATCACATCTGACCTGCGAATGCCTGGGGATTCCCAAGGAGGAAGTGGAAAACTGGGTGGAAGGATGTCTGGAATACCCTGCTTACGCTGCTGCCATCATGACCTGACCCTGGCAATAGTCTGTTGTGTAAACCTTTGTCTTATTTATTAAATTCAAATGTATTTGCTTATTGAGCCTTGATAGTTTTTTGAAAGTTTGTCTCAGTTCATTTTTTAAAATTTAAAAGCACTGCTGCGCCTCCCAGCATCAGTGCAGTTTTGAAAGTGCAGGAGTATGGTTAGCGCAGTTTTCATTTTTTTGACAAAAAAAAACATGAATTATTTTGATATATCTGAAAGACAAACAGCATGTTTCCTTCAAACATCATAGCTCCTGGTTAGCTCATATTGAATAATTAGCCATTAGTTGGAAGGTGGAGGAAAGATTTGTACAGAACCCATCCATCCACCCATTATCTATACACCACTTAATCCTCACAAGGGTCACGGGGGAGGGGGGGCTGGAGCCTATCCCAGCTGGCTTAGGGCGAAGGCAGGGGACACCTGGACAGGTCACCAGTCTATCACAGGGCTACACTTAGAGACAGACAACCATGCACATTCACATTCACACCTACGGACAATTTAGAATCACCAATTAACCTCAGCATGTTTTTGGACTTGTTGGAGGAAGCCAGAGAACCCGGAGAGAACCCCCGCTGCATGGAGAGAACATTCAAACACCACGCATGGGACACGAACCAGCGACCTTCTTGCTGCGAGGCAGCAGTGCTACCAACTGCGCCACCTTGCAGCCCAAGGAGGACAAAAGATCTGTTTTAACGTGAGACATCTCATGGTGTCATTACCTGATCATAGCTGTTTAGTGTATTGTACAAATATTTGTTGAGCTCTGTGATCAGTGCTTTGGTGATCATCAGATATGCATTTCAGTGTGTGGCTTTGGATGGACGTCAAGTTTTTATGCTTATAATTTTCTGTTGGAAAAAATATCAAACAGCAGAGACATCTTTTCATGATCTCAGGGGACTGATACATAATACTGACATGACCTTCTTGTGAATGCTTTGCCTTTATAAACTCAATTTTCATACAGTTACAAATGCAGTATTCAGACAGATTGCACCTGTGCAATTTACCATATTGCTTTTTTTAGGTGCTGACATTACTTGTGTGAAAGGAGCTTCTTCTTTTAATCCTGTTTTGCTTCTTCTGTTGATGGGACACATTTGCTTCATGTCTCGCTACCTGTAGAGCTAACTTTATGTAGTCTCTGTTGACATTATCACTGCTATATTTGCCATTTCTCATTGGAATACCATGAGTCATGTTACAGTAGCTTACCAGAACAGATAACTGTCAGAGTGTGGCATGTGGTTAACACAAAAAATGCAAGGATTAGTGTTGCATATAAACTCACCTCCAGTTTGAAGCAAGTTGCACCATTTCAAAATACTTAAAATGTCCAAGTATAGACTCCTCCATACTGTGTGAGCATGGTTGAATGGGCAAACGGAAACTTGTCTATGTTTGACTGAAAGTCAGAGTTTTTGAGCCCCTCCTGCTTTGACTTTGACTAGTTTCTTTTTGAATTCCTCATGTGACTGCTCCAACTGTATAGACATGTAATACTAAATCAATGGTAGTCCACTGAGGGTAAGATACATGCAAATTTCTCTGAATATCTTTCAAAGACCTCCTCTGGTGAAAATCAAGTTTTCAACCTTTTTAGCATGTCGTAATGGTGTTTGTTTGTTTGTTTGTTTGTTTATATATATATATGGAACTTTATTAGCAAAAACAGCAGTTAGCACCATGGCTGAGTATTTATACCTTGAAACTGCAGTGTAAAGGCCAAGTCGTGCTTTCCGTGTCCATAAAGACGTGTGACAAATCATGCTTTCCACATCAATGTGCACAGACCAATTTAAACTTAGACAGTGAATGTGCACGCAATTCTATTCATACAACAATAGATACACATTGGTCTGCTATACAGAGGGAAACATTACCCATATTATTGTACACAGAAAAACACATGGGGTTCTTGTAAATGCCGAGTACAGTGGACAGGCATAGCATGAGATTTCTGGAGATATTGGAACTTTCCACTGGGATTGGGCATAAACAAATCAAAACCCCTTTATGCCTTAATTTATGTCGCATGGACCCTTGCTGACACTTGCGGACAATCGGACAGCGTGAAATGGCCTTAAAGAACAATCCCTGTAGAGTGGAGCTTTCCGTATCATTGTTCTCCGTCAGAATCAGGATTAGGTACATTTACTGCAGAATTGCTCCAATATTACAATCTGCCTTTGTGTAGTGTCGAGTAGTTTTACAGTGTTTAAGCAGAGTAGTAGGTGAGCTGGGGTGCTTGAGCAGCAATGAGCGTTGGAGAGGTGGGTGGAGATGGAAGTCCGAGGATTTAGTAGATCTGCACCGTCTAAAGGACGCAATGGTGCACGATTACACTTAAGCCATTTTAAGGGAAGGGATCATTTTCACTGAAAAAATAAATACATTCGAAAGATACAACTTTGACACACAGAGATGCGTTTTGGGGGTTTTAATCGATGACAGGCTTGCACACTCTTCAGACAAACACTTTTTTGAAATCTGGAATAGTAGGTACTAGCTTCGATTTTAGCCGTTTGTAGCATTCAGTCCAACTGACTGATGATATCAGATCTGTCCATATCTCCCAGTTACAGTATGTACAGATGGAAGCTGGACTACCACCCAGTCCGTGACTTACATCAGAGTTGGGCCAAATAGTTCCTTTATTTTTGAACAAGTTAAAAGATATAATATTCAAACAAACAAGGGAAGTTATAACATACAGGCCAGCTGCGTCTCCACTGCACCTGTTAACCTGCTCCGAGCACCCCAACGAACACTGCTGAAAAACTGGCCTTTGGCTGAACCTAACGGACAACCCCTGCTGCAGGCCTGCTGCATATTTTTCACCAGAGTTGTTTCAAGAGCTTAAATGAGACACTTTATTTACAGACAGTGATGAAAATCCTGCACTGGTGGAATACATGGAGCCACTTGACAAATAGTAAAGTACAAGTCCTGCGACACACGGGAGGATGTGAGTCATCAAGAAACTTAAAAATGATGCACAGCCGAGATAAGACAGATGAAGAGGGATGTGAGAGAAAATGTATGGAGATCTGGGAGCTGCTGAATGAGTTCAGTTTAATTGTAATTCTGCTCTGTTTGCGTGTGCACACTATCATGAACACTTCATCACCCGCACCAATACCCCCAATAAGTGTGTGCGTGTGCATTCATGTACACACAAACATGCAAATACATGCACACACGTATGCACTCACAATCACACACAGCTACACAATCCTTATTGAAGACAAACATTCACATGCACGTGCAAGCTGTGCACATGTACA